TCAGTGTTTCCTTTGGTGTTTCTGTGGTTTCGTCTCAGGTGGCTCTTTCACCAGAGCCCTTTCTTACGATCGACCTGTTGATAGAGGAGTGTTGTGCAGAAGGATGGTGATCTATTAGCAGGAAGTCTTTATCCTGAATGGTGGAGCTGTAGGCTAATTGTTACAGACATTAAGTCTTTGTTCAGAAACATCAAAGATTTAAACCATGGTGTTAGCATTATTATCATTAAGTGTAAACTAATACCAGAAACTTGGACTTCTAGGGCTTTGTTCATGTTATTTTAATAATCCTAACCAAGCTGTTTGTCACTTTATAATACTCTCTACTGTTCAATACAATGGCCGAGGTTATGAGACAGAAGAGGACTAGTTGAAGGTAAGATATCATGATCCATTCTTTAGTTTGTATTTTGTCCATTTCAAAGTTTTGGTTTCCTTGTTGTTCTTCCCTAGTGTTGCTGGTTTTTCCTTTGTGTGTTTCTTAGTTTAGTCTTCAGTGTTTCCTGTTTTATTTTGTCATTTCTTAGGCATGTGAGGTCATAAGTAACCTCACGCAAATCAAAAGAAAATAACCCGCTGGGTCCATTGTCTGGTCAGTTCATTCTGTCAAGATTGAGAACGAACCGGACCCAAATGGAGATGCTTAGCAAAAACTATTTATTTTAACGAAAAGGATAAATGCGAAATGCAAAACAAAAACTTACAAGAACAAAATCCAAAAAGGGGAAACAGGGAAACTCTGACATTGACAGACAACTACTCTGAATTTACACCACCAACAAACAACAGTGAACTGACACTGAGGGCAAGAAACACAGAGACTAAATAGACATGGGGTAATCAGACACAGGTGAGACTAACAACACAGGTGAAGACAATGAGGGCAATCAACACTGGAGGGAAACATCAAGACACACTAGAACATAGAGGGACACAAGATATGAAATGACAAAATAACACAGGAAACACACTAAACTAAGAAACACACAAGGGAAGGAAACCTAAACTTTGAAATAGACAAAATACAAACTAAAGAATGGATCATGACATAAGAAGACAAAAAGAAAGAGAGTAACCAAGCAAGAAGCCAGACATGAAGCCAGACCTGAGGAAATATTGGACAAGCTTTTACATGTTGGCAAGAGCTTCGTTAAGCAGCAGTAATTCATAATCACAATGTTCAAACGTAGCATATTAGAAATGCATGGTTGCATAATGTAACTACTACCTACTGCAAGTAGGATGATCTGTTTCACTGCTAATGGGAAAGCAACAATCAGACAGCAGAGTGCACATCCCTGCAGATATTAATGAAAGATTGCAACGTAACATTTAGCAGCTTTACCGGGTGCAGAAAGTCATCCATCCCAAGTAAAGTCCCAGGCTAATAAAACCATCTTTCCTTGTAGTGCTTCAAGTTATCTGTATAACTTTATTAGAGACTTTGTTTGTAAGTATTAGCCTTATTATTTAATGTTGGAACATCAAACTGCCTTGCCAGTACTGACCCTGATCTGACAGATGGAGGAATCAAAAATGGAGAAGCTATCATAGCTCAACAGCTTTGATGCATCATCAATTGCAAATTCCCCCTGCTGTCTGAGTGAATGTGTGAAAGCAGCAATTGAGGTGGTCCTTAAGTGCTATACAAGTGCGGTCCATGTAGTCTTTGTTTTTCTCTTTTACCACAACAGAAATGTCAGTTCACCACTTTGACCTGTGAGTGGTCAACATGTTCACTGTTTTTTTTTTTTTTAAATGTGCATGCGATCTTTAGACAGAACAAGAATTTCTGATGACGAGTTCTAAAGGAATATAAACATTTAAAATAAATGTAAAATAGTCATCAATGAAAAACTGTCCTTTTTCATGCTTGAAAATGTTGATTTTTTTTTTTTTTTTTTTACAAAACTGGAAAGATTTTGAATTTACGTTCATAATTTACATTCTTAGCCAAAGAGAATTTAATTCTGAAGTTGAATCCAAAAATAAAACTCATTAAATTTGAATTCAGGGCAATAAATAGTTACTGTAAAAGATCAGACCTCTAAATGACATATGGGTTTCCATAACAACTGAACCTTTTCGACATTTTCTCCTCACCAATATCCATAATCACCCTGAAAAACACAACAATTAAAAACCAATTTAAACCCCTCTCTTCATAACTCTGCTAATGAGGATGCACGTAACGATTTCGTGGAGAGACACGCTCACTTTTCCAATGTGAGCGTGCTAGGATTCGATCCTGTAACAAATGACGCAGTGATTTGGTGAGAGAGCGACGCTGCTTAATCCAATAACAACAGAGTCAGAGAAGGGACACACTGAGGACATGTCATGCATTGAATTGTTAATAATGGAGGTGTTTACCTGCTGTTTCTGAGTTTCTGGCAACAAAGGGACTCTGGAAATGAGCTCATTTATCTTTGCTGACTCATCTTCAGTGTGTAAATCAATGTTTACTTGCTGTAACCACTGAGAGTCAAATGAGTTAATCCATATTATTAAAGGTCGTTAGTGATCATCGACACTGACATCTCTTTAATCATCTTTAGGTCTTGAGTACATTGAAAGTGCTACTATGGGACGACTTAAAGGTCCCATATTCTGCTTTTTCTGGTTTTATATGCTCTTTAGTGTGTTTTCCATGTGTCCTGTGCATGTTTAGGCACATCTATGCGCAGAAACGCGGCTTCTCCTACCTCCTCCTGTTAGCTGTAGCATTAGCTGCATGTAACACTCGGTTCTAGCCCCCCTCGATAAAAATGTGTCAGTCCGACGTCATTGTCAGTGTAAGATCACTGATCTAAGTCCATTGACTCGTTGTGGCAAGCCCTGCAGCTCATGTTGAAATTTCCGAGACGCGTGCTGAGCAACTGAACAATAACGACAGAGCGGATCGGCAGACCAATCAGAGCAGACTTGGCCCACGTGGGGTCTAACAGTGTGGGCTCAACAGAGTGTAGCTGACGGACTCAGAGCAGAGAGGGAGCAAGGAGGAGCATTCATTCATTTTTTACAAATGAATCAACAGAAATCAGGGACCAAGTTTGTTGTTTGTTTCTGTTTTTCTGTCTGATGTAGATCATCAGTGGGTTGAGGTTGATGACAGAGGCAGACAAATAGTTGGTAAGGTTAACTGCTTTCCTGCCATGGGCAAAAATTTGGTGTGTAGCCATTAATGTTGCAAAGTGAGAGAAAGTTTTTTTTGCGTCAAGATTTTGTAATACTTTACCTTAAAAATCCCTGATGTGAAAACTTTTATTATTTTCTGCTCAAAAATGTTTGCTTGCTCTAAGAAATATTGCTATTTGTGTTAATTGAATATGGTTGATTTACACTTCAAATACAAAACATTACATAAACATATGGAGCTGAGCAGACTTACAACTGCACACTTCAATTTGTGACATTTATTGGCTGCAACTCGACATTGTAATTTAATTATAATATGAACTCTGTGTCCTGACGTTCCATCACAACAGAACAACAATTTATTATAAATTGCATAAACAGGGCTGCTGTTAGTTTGGATGTCTGGAACTGATAATCAGTCCATACTTAATCAGTTTGGTTATATATTCTGTGTCTCTGTGTGTGATAAGACCAAGGCTCATTCACTCCTCTGTGTTTATTATTGCATCCTAGACAGACAGCGTTATCTAAACACAGACAGATATAGATCTATTTTACGGTGCAGATTTGATGTTGTTGAATCTTTAAAGTGAAACTCTGAAATGCTGTAAAGGGCTATTTGTGCACTAACATTAGCAATGTATATGAAACCCAGCTGATTCACTTATTTCAAGGATCTTGAAGGATCATGTCAAGGATATAATCAATGGTCATGTTTGGGAATTTCTACTACAGTAAAGAGAGAATGGTGATGCACAATTAAACCAAGGTACACATTACAAGAGAAGTCGATTTGATGGTTCCTTTAGATCAACTTTCCAGGTTTTCCTGAGGTGTGAGGGATGTTACGAGCGCTATGACTTCCCTCTATCTGATATCTAATCACAAATACTAAACATGTTCTATATTTGCAATCTGAGAACCTGTTGTCTTAGGGAACCCGAGGACAGCAAAGCATGCACTCTGTGGATTGTCACAAGGAACCATACGATAGCCAATCAGGAAGAAACTAAAAAAGGAAGAACAGCAACTACAGAAGACCAACCTTCACTCACCTTCAGCTTGTGCTGGAGCATGTAAACAGCTATTTCCAAGACGTAATCCCAATTTTTTCCTTTTTTTACGTCATTAATTTACAGGGTAGTCCAAAAACTATGATCGCCAATTATTCCTGCCCGTCATCTGCCATGTTTGTTTACTTTTAAGTCATGTTTGACCTTGAGAGATCTTCAGGACTTGGATACCCTCCAGATAAGGAAAACCATTTTCCACATATGCACTCCAGAAAATTAGTAGAACGTTTTCCTCAGGCTGCGCTGGAAATCTTCCTCAGTTGCTTGTTCACATGTGCTCCTCACAGCAAGAGTGAGGAGGAAGCTCAGGAATCAGGACATGATGTAAGAACAACAACAATGGTAGACAAAGCAACAGGGTCCGACCTAATGATGACAATTTTTGCCTTTCTATCAGGGCTTTGTGTGGTTCGACATATTCTGTATCAACCAAAGAGTTTAGAAGAACATGATGGCAAACAGAAAACATGCATACACACGTTGGCTCACTCTGACTTCATTGGGAAATATTATAATAATAATAATTCATGTTTTTTGTTGTTCACCAAGGCAAAGAATGTTATCAGGGGCATTTATCTTCTTCTCTCCCTGTAAATAATGTCTGTGTTAAAAATTACATAGATCAATCAACACATACAAACACAGGGGAAATCCTGATGCAAACAAAAACACACACACACACACACACAAACACAGAAAAAGAGTGAGACATTCAAACCTGTTGGTGTCATGATTTAATTTATGTAACATAATCAAAGGAAAAAAACACCAAGACACAAAAACCACGTTTCCACTTTGCAAAGAGAAACAGCAGAAACATCAAGACAACTCAAAGCAGTGAAATCTCTACATGTTCCTCATAGTACGGTGAAATGTCCCTTTAAATGATTTCATTAGGATCCCAGTGTAGAAGACAGAGGGCCTATGTGCAGCAGAGTGTAAAGAAAGGCATAACATCTTCCCAGTTCTAAATTGCATAAAATTGTTCCAACAAATATTTAATTCTCTGTTTCAAATCCTCAATTATCAGCCATGGAAATGGGGTCAGGGAGAAACGCTTACCCGCTTCTTCAAACGAATTATCGTTGCAAAAAAAAAAAAAAAAGAGAAGAGAATAATCCTAGTAACAGAAGCTACACACTTGAGCTGTCAAAATACCTCTTTGCCCCGTTTACTGAAAAAATACAACCAAACAGTTAATGAAATCTCCACCAGACAATGCTGTGCTTATTCCAAAACGTTCCTGAATAAGTCCCCAGATTAGGAGAGAACATCATTTTGTGACATAACAAAGATATCTCGACCTAGTTATGTAGATTCTTCTGTCTGTAAAGGAGTCTGTGGTCGTAACACGGAGAACTCTGCTCAGCCCCGGTCTCCTGCTTTGTATACAGAGCCTCTGGTAAGCAGGATAAGACTGGCATTTTGTGTGTGTCCCTGTTTGCCGACTTCACAGAGCAATGATAACCTGCTCTGGGATTAGGACGTCCCTGCTTGTGTTAAGGATTCCCACTGAGCTCACTTTGCACTCGCTCTTTTCTACTATTAAGAGGATTTGTTTCTTAATTGGAGAGCTGCACCCCAAGTCTCCTTTCTGTAAATGTTCACCTCCCGTTGATGTTGATGATGTTTCTCTATTCCCTGTAGTACGCCACCAGAAAGAGTTTTGGTTTGGGACTGTTAGCAGCAGCAGCAGGAGTGTAGGAAGCAGCAGAGTTGTGATTTGAAGGAGATGGAGCCCCCAGACTGACTCGCTGTGAGGAGTTGTGGATGGAGAGGGGCGTGGGCTGGGCAGGGGAGGGCGCAGGAGCAGACACGGGGTGTGGTTTCTCCTGGCGGAAGTTACGAAACGTCTTTGTCGCTCGTGAAAATGTCTTTAATGTGGAGCCTCGCTCAGGGGTGGAGCGTCTAAAGAACGCCCTGAAACACCTGTAGAACTTCACAGAAAAACATACACAGGATTACTAAAACGATTACAAGAGCCATGGTTATAGCAGGTCCATTACAGTGCACTATACAGTCACTGTACTTATGAAGAATAGTCATGGAAATGTATCTATAATGCACATTTCAAACACAGAGGCAACTTTTAGAAACAATCAGCAATACATTTCAGCGTACATTTTTTGCAAAAAAAGTTATTAAAAACAAAAAATATATACTTTAAATTAGAACCCAAACGATTAATTGGCCAGCCGATAATAACGGCTGATATTGCCATATCCAGTGACAATCAGAATCAGCTGTTTTTATCGCAGATATGCACCGATATTACTAGATTTATTTACCAGTCAAATAGCATTACATATGAGTATTGTTGACTTACACTAGCAGCTCTCTTGGGTGCTATATGGATTACAACAAGCGTTATCACTCTGCAGAGTGTCAAGCAGTGATGCACGTACATGCACAGTTACTTTACTGTTGTGTGACCGTCTTGTCTACGTTATACTCTTATATCTTTATCAAGTGTTGGATAACTGCACTTGAGGGATCAACACAATAAATGTGTATATCTATATCCATCCATCTCTACAGATCGATCATAGATCTAAGAAAGATATTGGCAGAGACAGTGTGTTGGTATAGGAATTTTTATCTCCCCAATATCAAAAATGGTATCGACCCCAAAAAACCATATTGGTCGGGCCCTAGTTCAAATCAGACAAAATACAATAGGGAAAGATCAGAAATACACTCACAGATAAGTAGCCTACTTTACTAATAATACAGTCAGTATTGTTCAATACGGCACCAATGCACTGCTGTGTTGAAATGAGCCAGCTGCAATGAAGTGTTTTAATCAAGTTTTATGGAGTAAATTTAACCTCGTATCAATCAACATTAAATCATCAAAGAAACCTCACTGCATCAGTTTTGATCCAATGACCCAACAGTGATGTAAAAATATCACTAATTCTGGGCCAGTGATACTGGGACAAGAGTTTTAACCCACACTGGATTCATTTTGAACTCACTGATTTTGAGAATGCTGTTAGAATACGGATATAAATTGTAAAGTAGAACAACTAGCTGCAGTAACATACCGGTAATCACAGTATTTGTACATGTACCAGCAGTAGTAGTTGTAGTTGTAGTGTTGGTAGAACTATAAGTTGGAGTAGTTGTTGTAGTAGTAGTTAATGCTGGACTAGTAGAGTTAGTGTGTCACAGTACTTCTTGCACTTTTAACAGCATAGTATCAGCAGTAAAAACCACCGGTGTTAATTATTATCTAACATATGAATCATTGTAGGACATTTACATACATACATATGCATACATGCAGGAATGACTCAACATCATTTAGCTGCAGCTCAGTCATCTTTTTCTTCTCCTCCATGTCTGATTCCAGTCCAGCAGGCAGCGTGCCCCCCCTGGATAAACGTAGTATACTTAGTATACTCTCTGGTTCCACACGTATACTTTAAGTCTACTACATTTCCCCAGGGCGCCGCATATCAAACAGGCGTGCTGCATGAAACAGTTTCGGGTGCTTTTTGGAGTACCATACTTAAGCAGTTGGATGACAATTTATGGTATATGACCCAATTAAGTTTTTATTCCCCGCCAGCGGAAATGATGCTGTTGTCAAAATTAGCTCTCCGTTTTAAATCTTCTCAAATCCTAATGTATTCATATACCGGAGAGATGATCTAGCTCTAGTAGAGGGGTGCTGGTTTAAAGAGCAAAACCTCCAGGGACAAATAGGATGGGCGTGTGAAATGGGAAGTGTGAAGGAGACAGAGACGTCTGAGGTGGAGGAGTGGGAGGACAAACTGACGTCACCTTGGATTACAGCTCAAACCAGACACAGATTGGGATCTTAAGGCCAAGGAGTGACCAAATCCTCAACTGCCACTCCAATTCTGTCTGCGTATATGTGTCTGTGTGTCTCCATATGAGGCTAACAGACACTTGATCTAACTGATTGTGTGCGGTCTGCAGTAAACTTTCTGTAGTATCCAGAAAAAAGCCTCAGAAAGTTGAAATAAAAGAGTTTTTTGAACACTACTTTTTAAAAACTACCATTATTATATAGGCTATCACACATCAATATAATATAGCACTTAAAGCACAATACTCAAAACACTCTTTGCAAAATTGCATTTTGTTGAGTCTGTTCAACAATGATGACGTTAAATAAAAGAGATTATTACAAACATGTAAGTAAAGATGTGCCCTGAAGAGAAAATAAAAAGGACAGGGAGTGAAGAATTCTGGCAGATTTTCACACTTTGTTGCTTCTTCTTCTCCTGCAAAGCTTTCTTGTCATGCTGCTGCTCACTGCTACATTTACCCCATCACAAGAAGTAGTAAAGGGAGTGTTGTTTCTTGTGTTCAAATAACTACAATTTTCTCTGTTCCTGTCTCAAAAAGCTCTACATGTCAACATCCTCTCTGTCACCAGTGTCTAAGAAACACAGCTTTACATCGATAGGGAAAAGAACCCATTTATAAAATAAAACAAATTCCATCCAAAGTAGAAATGTCAGGTTGCTTCCAGAGCTGTAGCTTCAACTAAGTTTGACATTTTGCAATATGAAATAAGGATTAAAGAGGCGAATGTTTATTACTTTTTCACTGATTTAGTCAATTAGTCAATTTGGAAAAATACACAAATAATGCTTTATTGAAATATATTTGGCAGATAAATGAGTATTTAACACAGGACCACTGAATTTGTAATTTCATGGGGACTTGAAGTTATTCTCCTTCCTTCTGTAATTGTGACAGTATCTGGGTAAATATCGTATTGGTGATTAGCAAGAGGAACACAACAGCGAAAGAAAATTAAATGAAAACTAAAGCGAGCTGTAAATACTAAATGTGTTCTCACGTTGGCTCATCTCAACTTCCTCTTTAAGTTTGACAGAAAAAAGTCAGGATGAAGAATGTTGCTGTTTGCATTCACACGTGGCCCAACTAGAGAAATCGCCCTTGAGCAGAAGACATTCTTCAGTTGTTAGTAAGGAGTGCTTTCCCAGGGAATTTGTAATGGCTGTTAAAATTCAACAGTAATATCCTATATTAATGTAATCCATAGAGTCAGATGTGCAGATTTTCATGTTAATGTTGTCTGTATAGTGTGTGAGTGAGAGTCTCCAGAGCTCTTTCATCAGGCCAGCTTGGCGAGAAGAATCTGTTCTTTGAGGTTTTGGTCTAAATGGACCACAGTCTCCTCCCTCAGAGGAAAAGGGTTTCAAAGTGTATCGGGTTGAACAAGTCAGCAATAATTTTTCCAGCTTCCCTCAGGGTCCTGGGAGACTGGTTAGACCTTATAGTTCATCATACCATGCAACCATTTACGCTTATTTCCAGGACAATTTTAGTTTTGTTCAAACCCTGTGTAAGAATTTCACAAAAACAGGAAGTTGATATGAAGGAGTTCATTTGGACAGTGTTATATCAAAAAAAAGAAAATTCACAGAAATACATAAGTTTTGACACATTTTGCAGAAACTGTGAATTATGTAATTTCCCATGAAGGCAGCTCAGGTCTGCGGCATGAATCTGTGCAGCGCTTTAAGTCTTCAACTCGCCTCAACACATTGCTGCCGTAGGTATGGGCTGGGAGGAACTGAAGACTGAAAGCGCCACACAGTGCGGCCACCTAAACGTCCATCTCCGGCTCTGAAAAGTCCCATTAGTAGCTTCATACATACAGCAAAAAAAAAGAAGCCTTCACTTGGAAGCAGTCATCAAAGAACCTTAAATGTCTCCTGAGCATAAAAAACGGCAGTCCCGTTAGAAGAAAAAAAAAAAAAAAGACTGACAGGCAGAACTGAAGGAATCGCAGATAGAAAAAAGAACTGAGGCAGATAAAAGGGTGTGACAGAAGAAGGAAAGGTCACCGTCGCACTGTATTTCGCTGATAGTAACATCACATGCTAATCACAATCAAAGTTACCTTTCACAGATTAAAAGGAAGTTTCTTCACACTAACACATTCTGACTGTCACCTTTTCTCTTTCATCGTCACATTTCACTTTTCTCCCCTCCTCTTTCATCTTAATGTGCTTCCTTTGGTCCGTATTTCAGTCATTCACAATTTCTACTGCCTTATCCTACCTTAATTCATTACTTTTCATTCTCTCTTTTACTCTTCTTTTCTTAAGGTTCATTTTTGAGCTTTTTATTTGGAGAAAGGACAGTAGATATAGTTAGAAATTGGTGAGAGAGTGTGGGGAATGACGTGTGAAAGGAGCCACATGTCGGATTTTAACCCGGGCCGCCCGGACATGGGCGTGCCCACTAACCACTAGGACACCAAGCTTTTTCCTCTGAGTATGTTTGTTATGACAGTTATGCAACAAAACACTAAGGGCAGTTTCTTTTCATGTGGAAAACCTGGCGAGTAAACAAAACAAACTGATATTGATTCGGATTCTGCAGCTTGTGTCTTTCATTTCCACCGGATGAAGCAAATGTCACTGCCAACTGAGATGAGAAGCTGCTGTCTGCTCTTAACCAATAATAAAAACGTCAAAAGACAAGAAAATAAACAGTTCCATGAAAGATTCTTCAGGCTAGAAACCTGACAAATCCTGGTGTTGTTTTTGTTCTACTTGAAACTGGACCCCAACCTTACAGCCCACACAAAACAACTATTTCTACCATCATTTGAAGATTTCTGAGTTCTGGCCGTAAGCAAGGATCCTATTAAACAATGGAGTAGATACAGAAGACAATGTATTAGACTACAAGTAGGATAAAGCTGTTGTTGAACTCATGCTCACTAAACTCTACAAGATCTCTAAACAACCTAAGGATGTTGAAATTCTTAAAACGTTGACGTTTTTTGATACCTGTTTTAGAACAGTGCATTGTCTGTTCTTTGTATTTTTCATATTATCAAAAAGTACAGAAGCTTTGAAAAAAAAAAGTACAGATTTTTTTTACCTCCAAGCTGCTGCAATCAAAAGAGAGTCCTGTCTAAACTGCACAATTGTGTTGCCAGTGTATGTGTGCGATGACCCAATAATTGGTGCCTATGCCTTTTACTTTTTTTTTTTTTTGCTGTGGTATAGAAACAGATCATTGATTGTTAGATTTTTGTTGCTGAAATTCTGGCATTGTGACAACCTTAGAAAGACTAAACCAGAACAGAATTTAAACAGATATCCTAAAAGTTCACAGTAACTCTAAAGAGTGCAGGAGATTCTTGAACTTTAGAGTAAAGTTAACTTGATGTGAGCTGTGGCTGAAACCTGATTTTTAAATCTTCTCACTCACTGCAAACCTTTTCTTTAAGGGTTTAGTCATGGTGCTTTGGCAGGTCTTTCTAGTATTGTTCTTCCCACACACATATGTGAAGACATTAGTCCTAGATCCACATGCAAAAATCAAATGTGTGAGATAATCCAGCTGCAAAACAAAAAGTCATCATGAGGAACAATGAACAGGCTATGATGCAAATGGGAGACTTAAAAGACGAGAAAAGGAATCACTCTGTAAACTCACCTGTTTGTTCATGAATATGTAGATAAAAGGGTTAATGACGGTGGAGAACTTGGCCAGCAACGACGGCGTGATGGTTGCCTCTGGGGTCAAAAGATCACGGGGGCCGAAGGTTGCAAGGAGGGCCGCCACTCCATAGGGAAGCCAGCAGATCAGGTAGCACGCTACCATGGTGACGACCATCAACAGCACCCGCTGCTCTCTGCGCCGGGTCACCACTGAACTCGCACTGCGCACCTGAGAGAGGGGAAACAACTCTATTGGTAAGGACGGGCAAATTTGGAATAAAAGGAGAACCTTGTGGAACTCTGATTAGTTTTCCTGGAATTTGACTAAACCAGAAGACAATCTTTGTTCTCTGTAAAATGTTCTGCATCAAGGGAGAGTTTAAATACAAGTCTCTCTTTAAGCAGCATCGTAGAGTTGGAACATATTAAGGAGATTCTGGGTCGATGTGCCACCATCTTTGACTGTGTGTCCCGTTTCAGCAGCATGGTAGCATTTGAAAGATGAACTAGGCTGTTCCTCTTAGCAGATGTTTAAGTTGAGTCAAGTACACCGAAATGAACAGAGAGCGAAAAGAGGAGAGCTCGATTGATTTCTATTCTTAAGAACAAGACCGTCTTCATCATTACTTACTTCTAAGTGTGCTCTTTTTGAGAAACTAAGTGAGAAATTCATAGAGAGATCAATAAATGTGTTCTTTGCCTCGGGCGTCCCTTTTTAATCCCTCAGAAAAATAAATATCCCACAAAGCAATCCAGGAATGATGACAACATAAAACTCTGGTTGAATGTCAATAACACTTCACTGAAGTACAAGAATAATGCTTAACTCTATGATGACAGGGACTGATGGCTCTTAGCATTGTGTCCAAATAGTTAATCACACAAAACACAGCTTTGCATCTCTTAATTTGTTTCAGTATAATTTATACCTCTTTTATGTCTCTCTTCATGCAAAAAGCTAAATGCTAATGTGAAACTGGCTCGTCCAACCTCTAAATAATCTTACTGTTAGAGAGCCAACTCGAAAACTCTTAACTTTTCCTTAGTAAGAAGTTTTATGTTATTCATTTTGTTGTTTCATTTTCCTTTGCCTGCTGATTCAGTGGAGTTAGTTAAAGTGGAAGTTAGTGGAGATTGAACATAAATCCTGGAGACAGTGAGTCTGCACTTTCACTGACTGTTATTGTTTCATTTATCAACAAGGACAGTCAGACAATGAAGACATCTGCCGAGGCCAATAGTCCAGTCTGCAGTGATGTACAGATCAACAAACCACTTTAGACGTCTGGATTGTTCCTGAAGCTTCTCAAGCTCCCAAAACTATGCCAAAAATATGGTTTCTGTCTGATGCAGCATAATCATCCTAGCTGTGCATTTCTTTTGTAACTTCCTTGGCTCACACCATCGAGTTTTGTAAAAATCCTCTGGTAGTTTTTCCATAATCCTGTTCACAACATGGCAAGAAATGAAACAAAAGCACAAAAAGTCTTACTTGATGGAGCTTAGTTATAAACCAGTCACTAAAATTTGGGTCAATAATTGATAAAAACTGTGGTCACAGAAGCATCTATATTCAGTACTTCAAACTCTTGGTGGTCACATGGCTTGTTTTTCAAGCTCTCTCATCCTCGCCACCATTGTCATGTTTATTGCAGTGCTACAGTTTGATAAGTTCCTCCATCTCGGTTAAAGATGCCAATGACGTTATGTTCCTTCTAGAGGCTCTTCACGCCCACTTACTTCCTAAAAGTTCCTAATGACTCGGCTCATTAACTTTTAAATACTTGCTACAGCTACCAGAAGTTCCTGATTGCACCGTAGCCATGGACGGAGAGAGTAGACTGCACTACCCGGATAACTGATTTACTCTAAAAACATGGACAACTATATATTTTAACGATTGCTTAGGTCAATTTAGACACGACTTAATCTATTCCAATCTGTCGGTGGCTATTTCAATCTGGGTAAATTATGTTGTTTCTTTAAATGCATGTAAACATCTTAGTCCGACCTACATCGGACCACAGCGGACATCTCATAATCGGAGAAGAACACCTGGATAAGTCGTTCATAGTCGGCAAACTAACGACATGTATACTCAGCCATCGTATCGTAATCGGATTTCGCGTTCTGTGCATGCTCGAGAATTTAGCACTGACTCCCCTTCAATGAAAACTTGCCCCCTCACCTCAACCCCTGCTGTCTCTTGTGTTATCCTGTGTTCCTCTCTAAGAAGTCCAACCTTAAAATCCTGGTTTATGAAACAGAGCTGTGGGACTTGTTTCTGCGTTTACACCTCAGTACAGACGTTTGTTTTTTGTTTTTTTTACATAAGTCTGCTTCTGCTAGAAACTGGCGCTTGTTATAACTCTAACGAGGGAAATATTGACTGAATGAAGACACATTTTTGTTTCCTAAAGCTGCAAAAGCTCAAGTGATATTTAAACCCTAACAATCAGAGTTTTTCCTGGTTGCTAATTTTTTAGTTGGTTCTTAATACTGTGTATATGTATACATACAAATGACATGTGTGCAGTCCTCAGAATTAAAGGCCCAAAATGTTTATTTATAATATCAAGGAACTAAACTAAACTAGCATCTGGAGAGTACCAGTCCAGGAGCGAGATGAATCATTGAGTTCATGTTTTATTAATTTGCGTCTGATCCCCTTCTCGATCAGAAATATTTTCATCTTACCAAATTCAGGTCAGGCAGATCAAAATCATTTGTACAGTTACATATAACTTTTACACATTTACAGTGTTACAACCGAGCTTCAACCACTTTTCTTGGAATATGAAGCCAATGTGGAAGTGTAAAAAGCTGTAGTTCCTCAGGTGTCCACTTCCACATTTCCGTTCTGATCACATTGAGGCAAAGAGTTATGCATACATTTGCATAATCAGGGCCTAACAGGTGGGCGAGTTGTAGCTGTCTTTTAGGAGGATTAAGCCCTGCCTCAGCTGCAGGTTTCTAGGTTGACCGAATGTTTAGTTTATATATCATTTCCAATATGGTGACCACCATTGTGGGCTTCATAACACCTCTTCAAAAGTCTTCAGTCTATGGTTACAACCTAGAATTCAAATAAACGTTTTTCTTGTGACATTTTACCTTGTGACTAACCAACAATAGAAATCCAAAAACAGATATCAAAATAAATTAAGCTGAGGAAGCTGGTGGCACCTGAGCTTGCTAAGGGTTTGCATGGCAAGGCATACTAATCTTTCAATATTTTAAATGTTAAATTACTTTGAATGCCATGGAATGTCCCGTCCCATTTGTATGGTCTCTTTGTGTTGTTCCATTTCACACAACCAGATATAAAGCATGCAATACCAGGCCGATGAGAACGATAATAAACAGCTACTCTGTGATAGTTGATCAATTGCAAGACAATCACACAATGATGCATCACCATATCTGATTAGCTGAAGCATAATAAATGCCGCTAAGAATGTAAAATACAGGCTTTGTATCTATGCATTGCAAAAAGGTTTCGGGTTCACCTCTCATCACGGTTCATCCCTTAGCTTCTGTTCAGTGCTGTCTGACATTATCTCGCTGTCCTTTTCTTCTTTTTTATTCAGCTGTCAACTTTGTCTTTGAACTCCAGTCCATGTTGCCCTCATTTATGTAATAAGCTCCACTGTGAAGAGTCATGAAGCAGTGAGGCGCTGAGTCAATTTGGTTAGGAAAACTGCTCAGAGAATATTGAATAGTGATACTTTACACAAGCGATAAATGTATCAATGCTGTTTCAATGTTTTGTCACACCCCTTTAGTATTGGACAACAGTTTGTGTTATTTACCTTTTTTTTTTTACGATAGATTTTAGAGTCTCGAAGCATTTAGGGGCATCAAGCTGCTGTTTCCAAAGAGCACAAGTAAGCTGTTTGAAAATAATCAGTTGAATCTGCCCCCCTGCTGTGTGTTTGGAGATATTTTTGGCAGAGCTGTTTTGTCTGCCACTGAGCCCTCTTAATCAGCAAGAGTGAATTTTAAATCCTTAATTAGAATCCTGTTTAAAAGGGAGAGAGAAAAGACCTTATATAACAACATGAAATAAAGGCAATCCCCAAATCCTAGCTATAACTTCTACTGTTGGTGGCGGAGAAAAACTTAGGGAGATATATAACTCTGACAGATCGAATGGGTACTTCAGTCCAAATTCAAAACATTTATGTGAGCTGTCCTCCTCCCTAGAGTCGATGTGTATGCTGGTTGCCATGTAGTCTACCAGCGTCCTGGAAGCTTCAGTGTTTAGCCAGCTCTGCATCGGTCTTGAAACCTAACTGCGTTCTAACCTCATAGCAGCTCCGATATTATCCTACTTTTACCACGTTTCTGGTCTTGTAGCATAAGAAAAATGTTTGCCTGGCAAACCAAGCAACGTCCGTAATGTCCATGTGAGTGTGCCTAAAAAACGCCTACCTTTCTCTGGTCAAAACTAAAACAGGCCATTCTGGACCAGAATCAAAACTTACATGGAGGACATAATGGCTGCTGAATTGTCAGAGAATCCAGCTCTTCAACATAGCATGTTTCCTTAATGTCTGTCAAAAATATCCTGGCTTTCCTTCTTTAGCATAGCACAAAGACAGTGCATAGCTGTGTTAAAACAGCCACTTTTTCCAAAAGATTTCCATCAATCTTCAAGCTTTCAACCTTTGAACAATTATTCTCCAAAGTAAATCATTCCCCTACATATCGCGGTGAGCAAACTGAACCCTCTCAATCCTGGACATAGGTGCTGTGTCAGCTGGAGAGGATGTCAAGGATGGAGTAAAAGAACATTTCACACCTCAGCACCGACTCATTCCTGTTGGCAGAGTACAGATGATGTGGCAAAACTTGGAATATGTTATGACATGTGACAGTGTCAGGTCAATAACGGACCAGACACTGTCACATCGTCAAGGACACGCTCCATCATTTTGCTACGATGACCAAGCGTTAATAGGGAGGAAAGGTGTTAGAAAGAGCAATCCGTTCCGCTACTGCTGTTCTTATTTATTTATATTTTTGCAGACAGGAATTTTAAACACAAAAAACAATGTGAAAATAGACCAGGGCATAGGGATAGAGAACTACATCAGAACAGCTTGGCCGAGATCAGACTTGAACTAAATATCAGTTGAAGAAGTGGAAGTCCTTACAAGACAACAAACTCTTGTCGATGCATTTTTTTTAACGTTCATCCCAAAATAGAGGACGTTTGGGAGTATG